TATATATACATATAAAGTTTAAAAATTGCGAGGATGGACAACTTATGACCTCAAAAATTTAAAAAAAAAATTAAGTAAAAAACATTTCGGTCCGAGACATTCTTCAGTTATTTACAACTTTTGAAATAAAAAAAAAAGAGAACTTTGAATAAGTTCGAAGTGCTAATGATTACGTAATTACAGATAAAGACTAATGAACTGGTGCTAATAAGAAGATAACAAAAAACCTAATTACAAAGAAAGCAATGGACAAAATACAAGAAACAAACCCTAAAAACTAAGAGATAAGAATAAGAAATATATTAAAATGAGTGGCGTAACGAATTGCAAAGAAGCAATGCGTCAAGCAAAAAAAGGGAGGCCCACTTTTAACTACAACTGTAAACCGTGACAAAATCCCAAAACAAGGCCTTTGGAGCCCGGAAGGGCAAATTAGCAGCAAAATCCCTCGAGGGGCCCTTAAATGATACTGATATCATAAGATCCCTTGGCAGGGCCTCTGAGCCCAATCCATACCTAAAGGGCCGACAAAATCGAAGAAAAGGGCCTTTGAACGAGCAATTAGTAGCGCTTAATATAAGATGGAAAATTAATTATAGCAAATTCTATTTTTCGAATGAAATTCCTTTCTTTTATTCAAACCATGGGGTACCAAAGAGAATAAATGAGCACTCCAATAAGCCTTTTTTGTGATTAAAAGCCTATCGATCTTTTCAGAACCACTAGGGGCCTGTACCTCATCAATGCCTTGTTCATCTGCGTGTTAAGCCGCACGCGCCAGCATTTAATTTTAACCAAAACCGCCAGCATTTAGATTTAATGATTTAATGGTCATTCGTTGATGTTGCCAGATGAGTTTGGCCAACCTTTGGCCATACGAAACAGGACTGTTGCAATAAAACGATGAATTCCTCCTAACGTCTTGAACTGGTTTAAAATTGTATATATATATATAAATGGAATAAATGTTTGAAAATAAAAATTTCCCTTAGCGGGATTTGAATCCACGTCCCCCTGTTACTAGTCAGGTGTGATGACCACTACACTATCAGGACAACCATGCTGGCAACACGGCAATCGAAGATGTGATTTACGTGATCGGAGACGTGGTCTCCCGGGAAACTTAATTTTCAAGGTGACAGGGTAGGGGAAGCCTATAACCCCATATGAAACCCAACTAAGGATCTATTAAAGATACACGACCGAAGTCAACTTAGCGGATGACAAAGGAGGATCCAATTACGGATACAGGCTAATTTCAATTAAACAAATTCTGTATACGAGGGAAACCCTGACCCTGTACACCCCAAGTAATCATACTTAAATAGAATAAATGTTTGAAAAGAAAATTTTGCATGTTGCCATGCGAGAGTGCTCAAATCACAACTAAGGTGATGAGCTTCGCCCGAAGGCTAAGTGCATGGCAACCCCAGTGTAGAGTGCTCAATCGCAAGGTAGCCAAAAGGCAAAGCCAAGCGAGAGCTATCTATATATATATATATATATAAATGTAAAAAACCTTATCCTTGAATCGGAGTGCTCCACAATCATGGAGCTTGGTAAACAGTTATTTAAGAAAAATAAAAATTAAAACTTCGCACTAAAAAATTCGCACTACAGATCTGTTTCGAAAGGGTTAAAAGTCCTCTCTCGTCAGGTGGCTAAGATACTAGTTGACTAGCGATCCTTTTAAGTAGGCGGTTTAAGCATGCCTTATCAAATATTTAGTTGAGTGCCGGCACGCACTCGCCAGTTCGTTCCTTTTGTTTAGGGTGCCCGCCCCTGTTCTGCATATGATAAATAATTTTTCAGCTATGCAAAGATTGCATCTCTTTGTAGTATTTGAGTACGGCCTGGCGCGAGCTATTATTTTCCAAGTCACGGATAACTACGTTTCAGCATCCTTTAGGGACCAGATATATTTGCTCAACTCTGTTGCATTACTTTTGTTCTCATGTCTAAATGAAGCTGTATGATTTCTAACTCTTGTTTTAAATTGGTTCGCAGTAAGGCCGACGTACGTTTGGGTTCCCAAGGGACTTTCAAATGTGGCCTGGTAGACCACATTTTGAATT